TATTCAGACATGAATATCAATGTAATCTATATTCAAGCCGTAACTGACTGTAATGTATTGAGATTTCAATTTCAAAGCGTGCACCCAATCAAAGAGGAACATCAATCATCTATAACCGATGTATCCGTGACACATGTCGAAATTGCCAATAAACGTTATGCTAACTAATTGTTTTGATTAATTGGTTTAGAACTAGAGTCAGTTACAATAATTTTCCAAGAATTTAAATAGTTTATTTTAAAGAAGGTTCAGGCTGTTCTGTGGCCGAAAAGCTAAAAAGAAGTGTCAAATCTCGAATCGAATTGTAGAAATTTATATAGTCTCATGTTAATCTTGTGCGATAGTCGAATAGATAAAATCATTTAAGATTCACAGAAAAATATTGACCCCACGGAATTATGTCTACGGTTGAAATGAGTTAAATCTTAATATGGAAATACCCTTGGTCGAGTTTTGTACTGTAACCGCCACTTTTAGTTTACACTAATATACTTCATACATTTACTATGTTTAAGCACGTAGCACGTTGTGTTCTGTGCAGTACATCTATCTCTTCTATGATTACCATAAATAGTGGATGATAGTGGCCGGTTCAACGCGGGAAACTATGAGTCTCTGATACATACATTTAATTTTCGAACGTAGTTTTTATTTTGCACTACCACCTAAGATAATTTAAATTAATATTTTAAATTGGCTGCCCCCGCGATTTTCGTTTCGCCTCATATATGATTTTTTTATTTAGCCTATATTTTTAGTAGCTACTTAAAAACATATGGAACATTTTGCTAAGCAACCGTATAGATACTGTTCGCTTTTCCGGAATAAAAACCTAAGTTACTAAATAAAATTACAAAAATTTTGTATTATATTTTTCCAATTTTTCTCTCGATAAAAACTTTCCTCGAACAAAATATACTCAAATTGGTCCAGCCGTCTTAGAGTTTCGCTCTTAGCAACATATTTTGCGATTAATTTTTATTTATATGTCTTAAATGAACTTTCATACCTACGACATTACTGCGACAACTGGTTTTGAATAACCCGTAGAGAACCAACTAAATGCAACGTATTAATAAATATTGATAATCACACTTCGAAGCACTCCCAATAATTAACATCGCCCAATCAATAATCCATTTTCACTAATTAAATTGACATTGATTTAATCTCGCGTTTGTTAATTACTATCTCACGTTATTCAATAGAAGATGGAAGAGGTTCCTTTGGATGTTTAATTAAAGGAGTATAGTCTAGTCTTTAGAACAGTTTAGCTTTGTGGTTAAGTGAGCGATTCTCAATCCTGGTCAGTTATTTATACTCTGTGCACTAATTATTCTTTCTTTGTGCGAAATTCACGATATCTTGTACACAGGAAAAATACGGTTGTGCACCAACTGACTTTGTGTATATGTGCGCATTACATACACGCTCGTATATAGTACTCGTAGCATAAAGGAAAACATCGTGAGGAAACCGGCCTGTCTTAGACTTGAAACAGTAAATAACTATGGGTTGTGGTGTCAGGCACAGAAGGATGACCACCTACTTGTCTATTAGAAAAAAAAACTGATCACAACAAACAGATACAAAAGTCTGAAGCTAAGACCAAGGGTTGTAGCTCCACTGGTTTTTTTATGCGTAGGTAATGTACATTACTTTTTGGCTATATGATCGATAAAGAGGCAGAAATATTGCCCCTCCTCCCATTTCTGGAAAAAGGTGATTCATTTGCGTGTTTTTAATTAATGACAATGAATGAATTAAATTTAACAAACGAAATGCTTACATACAACTTCATTGACAGATATAAAATCATACATTATTTACATACATTAGTAGCATTATACAAAATTCAAGTGCTTTAGAAAAATCGTATATGTATGTCGAGTTTTGCAAAATATATTTTATTTAAATGCCTTAGTACTCGCGTTAACCCAAGGTACGTATGATATCACTAAAGTCAAATATAAACAAGACCTAGTTTGCCTAAATTAAGCTCAAGTAAGTTTGTGAGACCGCAAAATACGTGAAAGTTTTCATATCCTCATAGACTAAGCCGCGCAGTTAGCGTCTTTAGCGAACATTACTGGTTAATCGCGTTAAATGCATGGTCAAAGTTTGGACAAGTTGTAACTGGATTGTCCACAGGACTGAGAATTTGAAACTTGTAAATGGAAATGCTAAAACTTTCATATATTATACATGTAAAGAAATAATTATATTTCTTTTTGATTGTTAATTATGGTCATGTGTCAAAACTGACGTTTTATTTAATTGTCATATTTAGTTTGTTAGTCTGTGGAAAAGGACACGAGTTTTGGCTGGTCACTTTTTAAAAGAAGATTTTTTTGTTAGTATATTTTCGGATTTTAATTAGGATTTAGATTAAAATAATTGTTTTATATACTCTAAATGTTGTTTCTATAATTATTTCAGGTAATATATTCGTTAACTTACGTGTACCTACGTATATTTCGTTACGTTTCGTTTTGTTCAAAACTAAGGTTAGAAAAAATCTATAATTATTTCTGCAACACATTGGAGTTTCATTCATCATGTATATCTTAACGTTTGTTATATTTACTATGATAAATCCGTTTATAAATGAAACGTTTGTTAAGGTTTATACGTTTAAATGTTACTAATTGTATTCATAGAACTCAATCAATCACCGTTTTAACTGGAATATTATTTTGTCTCTTTCTGTCAAATGGAATTTATGCTTAGATGAACAGAGACACATCAATACTTTTGTTACAACAGAGTAAACGGACTGACGGACGGGATAGGAATTTAACTAATTAACTGTTTAACGTGAATTGTTTGGTAATAAAAGTTATAGGAATATTTAGTTTTCTAATAGCTCCAGTACCACTTAACATCGAATTATCATTTTTAATCAACATAATAGTTTCAAATACCCTCAATTTCTTTATAATTGTAATATAATCGATATAAAAAAATAAATTGTTGATATGTCCAATGTCACAACCAAATTATTACACAAAAATTTTGTCAAAAATGTAATTTTTTGTTTGCATGGCTTTATGGTTTGAAAAAGAAGAACCATTTGTCTCGCTAGATTAGAATGAAGAGGTTCATAAAAATCATAATAAAAAAAACAATCCCTATGGCAGAGTATCCTTCATGCTGGCAGCATTTTCTTGCTGTATGTACCTTACCGGTCAACTGAAATCTTTGATTCGTTTTATATATCTTATATTTATGAAAACAAAATTGCACGTCATTTGTTTTTTAATAGACAATATGAACACAATAATTACGATTGGCTTGTTACGTTGACTTAATGCACACAATAGATTGAATAATAGCTGAGGTAATATGTATATTACGAGTTTATTATTGACGTCGACCGACACTTCCTGCTTCCGTAAATAATTATGAATAATAAGGCTTGTTTAATTGCTCAATATTCTGTAACAACTTTACATAATTTTATGGTAATTAAAGATGCTCTGAATTTGCTTGAGATCTTAATTATAAGAATGTTTTAAGATAACTAACGACTGTTGGTTAATACAGCAATAAGCTCGTTATTAAACACGTGATTCTAAACCCTGATATCGTATGTTAGGACACCGGACCTACACTTCTACATTAATCTTACTACATATGTGCACAACAAACACTTGTAAAGGAAATCATGGTGAGGAAACGGTGTCTTAGGCTTAGAAAATACTAATGAAACAAACAAGCAGTATGACTTCCTGCCATATAAAATTTAAACCAAAAAACCAGGTCTGGGCCTCAGATTTTTGTATCTGTTTCATGATCATTTGTCCATCTAATAGGCAAGTAGGTGATCAGCCTCCTGTGCCTGACACACGCCGTCGACTTTTATATATCGTCGATATTTTATTCACTGTTCGAGCGAATATTAAATGTGAACATAGACAGAAATTCCATTGGGCAGCCGGAGATCGAAACTACGACCTCAGGATTGAGTGTCGCGAGCTTAAGCCACTAGACGAACGCTGCTTTTATCGTATCTAAACTTTAACAGTCAATATATATATATAATAATATTATATAATTTAATATCATATAGGTCCTAAGCGCCTCCAATTAATTGTAATACGTTAGTGAATTGCCGACTTGTGTTGACTTATCGACGCTAACTGCAGTTATTGAAACTAAATACGAGTCTGTTGGGCATTTACTAATAAAGCGGTTAATTCTGTGTGTAATTGTTAGTGTTTGATTGGTGCTGTGTAAATAGTGTGTAGTTCAAGCTAATTAATCTTATATAAACAATTTAGTACTACTATGTTGGCGTTTGCATGGGGGTAGAAAAAGTACCTATATGTGTTCTATATCTGACATGCTCTGTTACTTAACACACCCCGTATATTTTGCTACACACACATGTGTTAGGGGGGCTGGTAGTGGAAGGCTTAGCGATAGGAAGAGTAGTAAGGTTCTTAGTTAATCCTCTCACATATTGTAGGTATATGAAATCAAATCTTCAAATAATCGATACCTTTTTCGTTTATTTATTTATTAATAGCCGCGTCAACAAGGTCGCACAAAACAAAAAACAGAATAGAAGAAAGAAACAAGTTATAAAATCTACAAACAATGTGTGTCCTCGATAACCGGTGCGGACGGCGGCGTGCACTTGCTTATAATATATCAATGTATACAATTAATAAGTTTACATAGATAAACATTACTCAAGGAATGCAACACAAAAGACCTTAAATTACAAAGCATAGCGAAAAATCCTAAGAAAATGATAACGGAATGCCCTTCCTGTAATCGGATGGGCAGCCCGAGAAAATATCGAGATTGTTTGGGCCCTACAGCCGATTGCACAGTAACATTCTGTTTAGTGGAGCGAAGAAACCCAAATTAGAGCGCTTAATATAAAAAATGTATCCCCTTGCTTGCAATGTTTCAAGTCTCTAGGAACAGAAATGATTTTGTAAAAACTAACCTATATACAGTACTAACGACATGACTATTTTCAGGGCAATATGTGGATCCTACTCCTCTTCATTCCCCTGGCGTTGTGTCAACAACCCTGGGTGCCGTGTTCCGAGCTAAACGATGATCTTCGCTACCCCTGCCGATGCAAAGTTCAAGTGGACAGAGCCCTTCAATTACGAATACTGATGAACTGTGACCATGTGGTGTTCTCTGGTGATTTCCCTCCCCTGCCGTATGGTGCACCTATTGTGGCTTTCAGCCAGCGATGGGCAGGACAACAGTCTTTGCCAACACAGGTACAGTCCTTTAAACAGTGATATTTATTGGGGAAATAAATACATTATATTTATTTAATTAGGGTCACGTTTATATTAACTGTGTAATTTAAATTATTTCAATATTATATAAATAAATGTGTAAGGAATATTTATTTTCGAGATCATTTTATAAATTAGTTATCGATGCAAAAATGTTGAAACAATGAGTAAAATATATAAATATAAAATCTTTTTTTTGTTTATAATGTTAGTTAATCACTCACACAGAAATATATAATTTCGTCATTGCTGTCTATATATCTTATGTTATCAAAAGACAATCGGGATACAATTGCATTAGATTACTGTATTGTTAATAGCACAGCCTTGGTACAATTGCCTAGTGAACGGTAAGGTGCATATCGTGAGAAAGGATGGTATGACGTCACTTCCGCATTGCAATCTAATCCTGTATATTTTGCATTTGTAAACAATAGTGTTCTAATTTTAAAAGTTTATATGGTTAATACTAATCACATTACTGGTTAGAATCGAATAATACTTTTTGCGTTGTATAAACTATGGAAGGCTATTATAGAATATAACATCACGCGCCGAGCGAATCAACTCGAGCCACAGCTTATATGTAAAACAAAAAACAATCTCAATTTAGTTGAACATTGAAGTTTAACATATCTGACAGAGACAACCTTTTGACTTTAGTTACATAAAAATCTTATAAGTTGAATCCTAAATAACCTCTTTCAAGATAGTAGAATTCGAACATTAAATAGGATTTTTTGTGTTATTGTCATCTCGATTAAACATTTAATAGGCAACAATTAATTATTTATAAAGCTCCAAGGGCCCTAAATTATCTATAATCTAAGGATAATACATTGTGTAAACTCAAATCGCTTCAACCTTTCTCTAATCCATTAAATTTAATACAGCAATTAGTGTATAATTTCTTAATAGATGTAATTGAGTGACTCAGAAATATTCGTGTAATTAGCTGAGATATTCTGTTTTCTACTAGAACACGCGATTCATGATCTGATAACTACGGACGAAGCTGCTCATTGCGGAAACATTACTACTTACACTGGTTATATTGATTTATTTATTAAAGTTTACCACATCTTACGTAGTTCTAAATCTACGGTATATATTACAAACTCTTTGATCTAAAATGTATGACAATTTAAATTTAAATGTAAAATCTATATGTATATAAGAAAAATGGTCTTCGTTTGAGGCTCCTTCACGCCTAAACCACTGATCGTATCGACATAAAACTAACCACCATTCGATGCGAAATTTTTCCTAGATGGTTTATGGCTATTTATTTATTAAATTCCAACGTTCCTTCATTTTTTTATTGCTGTTTTACTTTTATGAAAATTTATCCATACGGACTTCACCGCGGAAACATTCGGGGAGGCTTCCTAGAACCTCTAAACGTCAACGTCGTTTCGATTTTCGAAATATTTCAATTTTCTTAGCGGGAAGTTAAAAAGAAGAATAATAAAAATATGAAAAAAAAATAAAATAATGAAACATAAAATTTATTTTAATTCGTCCAGCAAAGCGGGCGCGAAACGGCTAGTACAATATAAAAAAAAATTTTGTTAAGCAGAAAAAAAAATTACCAGCAAAACAGCGGATTAGGTTCGAGATACGCACTTTACAATGCTTTCTTTAAAACCGATCAGCGCACTACCGAATTTATCCGGCTCCGGATAAGTACTGTTTAATCCGTTAAAATCCTAGGTTGATTTTTGCTGAAGGAATTTGGAAAATTTTGCTGATTTTAAACCTTGGGAATGAGTAACGGACCACCATGTTAATGTCCTGTAATATTTGCTTATTTAGCAATTTATACAAGAACGTAACACAGGCTAAAGATTTCTGATTAATACAAAATACATATAATAAGGTTGTAGCGCTGTCTAGTGCAAATTACTTAACTTTTAAATCGACTTACTATATCGAAAAGAAAATAAGTAAATAGAAAATATAGTAAATAGAAAATGCAAAAATGTCAGTTCCATTTTTTGGTAATAAGAACAAAATTTGGTAATAAAGAGAAAATTGTGTAACTCTATATTAAATGCACTAAACTTCCCGTCTTCAAAACTAGTTACGACAATTAATAACTGCTTAACAACAAGGCGGATGCAACATTCCTTCATTTAAATAATATTGTACACATTAACACACAAAAGCAATAGATACTTCACTATCACAATCACTCACAAGAGTTCAAAGTATTCATGGTACAGTTCGTTCTAATCATTAAAATGCGAAGAATTTTCATGAAAATTAGGATTTTAATTATATTGTAAATAATTATAGTAACAATGAAACGAAATAGCTACCATCAGACGAGCGTAACGTTAAACCCGACATTAACGCTCGAAAATGACTGACAATTAAATGGCGAATGTGTAATTGCGATTCGTATCGTTCGATAATGTGGTTCAATTTAAAGGATTCGTTTGTTTTGTATTAATTGTATTGCTTTAAACAGAGTAATGGATGGTCCTGAAATTCCTTTACGTATCTACTTAAGTACTATTGGGACAGAGCATATCAGTATTTTGAACTAAATATTCTGGTATTTATAACTGTTGATAACGCAAGTTGGGAATCGGCCTTACCAATTTAAGGTATTCTTTTGTCGGGAATCAAATTCATGCAATTATTATTATGGAACCCCTTATGTACTAAATCATACACAAATTCGTTTAATCTGTTTTAAAAATATATCAATAAATATGTTTTAGTTTAGAAGTATTACTTTTTGGGAAATAATTTTTCATAAATCTAAATTACTTAGGGCGCAGATAACTCGGTCATTATGTCGACTTTTGAAAATTAATTAAAATATGTATTTATAATACTTATTTAATTTTAATAAACTCGCTGTTTCAATAGGTTTCCCTTACGATTAGACTCGTGCAGATAAAAATAAGCGCATGGTACTTAATGATCATTATTTTGTGACAGAGTTATTTATAAACTATATCTCCTCAATCATTCGTTGATATTTAATAATCTCAAGGATGTGTTAAATTTAAACAACATATTATGAATATATAATTTTAATTGGTAAGACATAAAGAATTTATAACAAATTTAGTTTCGATAAATACGATTATAGTCAACCCTAAAAGATAGAATAACGTGGGGCTAGATTGTTTTGTATGCATCTTTTATTATTCTACGTAAGTTATACAATATATAAACACATAAGTGTGTACATGGGTAAAAATCATAACATTTAATTGGAATTACAATATAAGGATGGAACTTTTAATCTTTTTTAAATATTTTAAATGTATTTTTTTTATACAATTTCATTATTCTATGTTAAAATTAACTTTTGCAGATTTTCTCGTCTTATGGCTTACCAATGAAGGAGCTGGATTTCTCCCACAACAGCCTACGAAGGTTACCAGATCGTTTATTATCTGGGATCAAAGGCAACCTGACTAAATTGGTGTTAGCTGATAACTTGCTAGGTGATAACCTGAACCCAATATTCTCGACTGCAGAGCTTCACAACTTACCATCTATGGAAGAGTTGGATCTCAGCGGAAATAACATCAGAGGGCTGGAAGAGGGCCTACTAATTGGGTGCAATGTTATGAAAGTAAGTTTTTGATATATGAATCTTTATAAGCATGATACAATTATTCAGGTGAATAGGAGGAAAAACTCAGAATGATTGTTTATTTTTGCCACACACAACTATCTTTATAGTTACTAAGACAGTTGGTAAGACATAGTAATACGTTTTATATAAGATGGATCAAATTGTATATGTTTACCTAAATATGGAAAAGTAATTAAATCTGAAAATATGACTAATTATCTTGCCTATAAAAACTGATTAATGAATCGGATGCCCCATTTTTTTTTAAATTATCTTCAATTCATTCTTTTAATATTAATTTATAAAAAGCGCTAGTAAAACTTCACGTAAGCTTATATTATAAAAAATAAGGATTAATATTACCTTACATAATCAAGCGTTTTATATATTTCCTAATAAAATATTCACTTCGAATCATATTAATGACTGAGCCAAACTGTGCTGGTCGAGCCATTCTACGCCGTAGCATATCTACGAGTCTACGAGCGTTTGCGCCATTTTTATAATCAGACTCTTCATGATTCAGCCGTCATTTGCCGGCTTTCAGTATACAAAGGAGTTAACAAAGTGTAAAAAGGACTGTTGGGCCTTGCATTGTATTTTGTGCTTTAGAATCTTGTATAAAAAGAGAAGGACAACGCAGTAATATCAAACGGGCTATGTGCAGTTGTAACAGATACATTGCACAGTAATTAATAACTTCTACATTTTTGAAATAGTACATTAAATTTATATGAATGTAAATATTATAATAATATGAATTGTAAGTTGTAAACTACTCCGATGCGTGCATTACGAGTATAATAAGAATGATAACCGATTGAAGCGAAACGTCAGTAAATTTTGTCAGACTGCGAAATTTTTGTTATCCAACACGTATCAATATAGTGAAAAGTATTTTAAATACATTTTCATTATATTTGTAGCTTATATGTATACAAAACATGCAATCTTCAAAATTATGCATAATGTCTCAATATATACAACGCTTAGAATTTGATAAATAACATTACGACTTATAAAAAATTGATCGTAGAACTTAATTATTATGAATTAAATTAATAATTAAAATATTACAGATACTCCGTCTGGATCGCAACAATATGATCTCCATACCATCTACCTCTCTCAACGGACCGCTTTCATTAAAACTTCTCTCGCTCAGGGAAAACAGAATAGGTAAGTTGAAAAAAAAAACACGTTCAAATATACGAAGACACTTAACGGCTTTGCTTAAGTCTGCGCAAACTTTCTGTCCATTTGGGAAAGCCTAAGATACCTAAAATAATATTTAAGAGGTATAAATGTCGAAGTTTTCGCAGGGAACGCGACTCGGGGATTAAGTAATTTCAATAACTAAAGAAACGGAAAATTGGATCTTGCTTTTCTTTAATTTTAAGTATAATAATTTAATTTTAAGACGTATAGCTTGAAATTCGAGTTTATGTATACTTAATATTACTCCTATTACAAACTTAAAATACTTATAATAATACATAATACTATATTTATATATATTTTTGTTTTACCTTAAAATTTGTTAGCGTAAAACAAAAGGTGTTATAGTGTATATGTCACTGGCCTTAGTATATAAGTTAGTTATGTAAATATGTTCGACGTCCTGGTGGACAGAAAAACTGTGTCCAGTTTATGTTTCCGCCACACCAACTTATTTTCTATTTAAGATCATGTATATAACAAATAAATAAATAATTTAGTTAAAATTTTAAGGTAAAACTACAATTGATGTAATAATTTATTCCTGTAAATTATTTATATATTGTGGTGTGGCTTAATTATAGCTTATAACTTTCCTTGTCTAGGGACCGACGAATTATAATGTTTCGTATATGCAAACGGAATGGAATTAAATGAAAATGTATCTACCCCGTCTCCTAAGTAAAGTGTTAAGTATTAAAAAAAATCGAATTAACTTCAAGTTCATTCACCTATAAAAACAATTGATATTGTGCGAAACAATTTCACATATATTTCTAGGAATTGTTTTTACATTGTACATTTTACATTTTTAGCTCTACTTCGGCACGCCTCATTCCTCTCACAGAAGACCATCGAAGAAATCGACCTGCACGGGAACACGATCTCAAGTATCGAAGGAGGGGCCTTTATTAGCCTGACTAAACTCCAAACTTTGGATTTAGGCCGTAACAAGCTCTCAAAGTTCAATAGCGACGTGTTTCAGGGCATAGAAAACTTAGAGAAGTTGGACCTTTCTGAGAACTTCATAACTGACTTCCCTACAGTCGCACTTAAAACCTTTACGGGCCTTAAGCACCTGAATCTGTCGAGTAATATGATCACGGTAAGTGTAAAGTTTTCCATTGGAATTCTGCTCTGTATAGGGTGATTTGTTTTTTAAGTACAAAGTAAAGCGTACAGGGTAAAGCGTAGACATATTATTATTACTATGGTATGAATGAAAGGAAAGGATTTAGAGTCGAGAATCAGCGCTAATTATGATTTCTACTATAGTTTTGTAACGATAATTTAATTGCGTATAAATTTTTCTGTATCGTTTTTATTTGCCTTGTTTTAGAGAAGACTTTTTATTTATGTGCTTTGTTGAACACGAATTTTATAATTAACTGTAATAAAATAATTAAATAATAAAATGGTAGGCATAAAATGCATTCCTTAAACAAATAAACTGTGTTATGCTTGGACACTATACAATGTTACCAGTTTTAAATAATCTAAACTGTAAAAAAAGTACTTGATACATTGGCAGTGATAATTACTTGATGAAAACTTTTTGTATGGTATTAAGTCCCTTAATCCCACATTCATCAGATTCTTTTAAATCAAGTAAGCAGCGTCCAATATTCTTACTGAACGAATTGTTGTTACCTACAGAGAATGAAATGCCACGTTAATTGTTTCAGAATTTAGACAATAGTCATCTCAACTCTCTCTCGTCCCTGCAAGTGCTTGACTTGAGTCGAAATAATATTGTAAAGCTTTCTCCTGGAACTTTTGTCGGTGTGAGTGAGCTACGCTATTTGGACATTGGCGTGAACTCTTTGAGAACTGTAAGTTATTATTTAATATATATATATTTTAGTAAAAGTAATATTAGCAGTAAAGTATATATTTGAAATAAAGAGATTAAAACTTATTTATTCCTGTATTAATTAAAAAGCAGTGTTGGCGTAGTGGCTACTCTAGCTAGCTAACTAGCGTGCGACTCTTGTCCCTGAAGTTGTAGGTTCGATCCCCGGCTGTGCACTTTATTTATATGTGCGATTTAACATTCGCTCGAACGGTGTAGGGAAACATCTTGAGGTAACCGGCTTGCCTTAGACCTAAAAAGTCGACGGCGTGTGTCAGGCACATGAGGCTAATCACCGACATACCTATTAGATTGACAAATTATCATGAAACAAGGGCCCTGAAAAAAGGGTGCCACCGATTTTTTTTATTTTTATATTATTCATAATATAAGAAGCTTAAATAGTTGTATTGTTTTGCTGTAACGAAGATTTTTCCCTACCCTTTCAGGTTGAAGACGACGCATTCGATGGACTCATTAACCTCCAGACGCTGTTACTACGCGATAACAACATACTCCTAATTCCCGCTGCGGCACTTTCTCGCTTGCCTAGCCTCACCTCAGTGCACCTCGGCTTCAACAGAGTTACCGCGTTATCGAGCGATATCCTTCGGGCCGTGTCGGATGGAATCAATTCACTCGTCCTCTCTAGAAACGTAATTAGAGAATTGCCCCCAGCGGCTTTCGATCACTTTAAAAACATACAGCACTTAGACTTATCCGGAAATCTGTTAAACTCGATTTCAGCGGAAGTATTCAGCGGATTGGAAGTCACCCTCGAATTTTTGTCTCTAAGCCAGAATAGGATTTTAGGCTTCACCGGGCAACAGTTGAAATTTGTGAACTTATGGTTCTTAGATATATCTGGAAATCAAATATCGGAGGTTCCGGTGGATGCGTTTGAATCGATACCGAGCTTATCGCATCTGAATATGAGCCACAATTTGCATATGAGTGTCCTTCCTCAAAACGTTTTCAATCATAATGACGCTTTATTGGTTATTGATATAAGCAATGTTGGTTTAAAGGCGCTTCCTGTTAATTTATTTTCGAAAAATCATAATTTGGAAAGAATCTACTTAGCTAATAATAACTTGCAAGAAATATCTGAAGGCTCATTTAAAAATCTTAAAAATTTGACTCATCTTGATTTGTCATATAATAATATAGTAACGATAAGACCACCTGCATTTGTAAACGTTATGTCTATCCAATATTTATCATTGAAAGGAAATCAACTAAATGCGTTCAAAGGAGAATTCTTTAATACCGGCACAAGTTTAGAAGTTATCGATATTTCAGATAACCAATTGAGCTATCTTTTCCCCTCATCTTTCAAAATCCACCCAAGATTACGAGAAATCATACTGACGAATAACAAGTTTAATTTCTTCCCCTCCGAACTTATAAGTACTTTGCAATATTTGGAACTTATTGACTTGTCGGGGAATGCTTTGAAAAATGTTGATGAGTTAGACTTTGCTCGACTTCCGAAGTTGAGAACTATTTTATTAGCACGCAATGAATTAGAAACTGTTAGTGAAATGGCTTTCCATAACTCAAGTCAAATACAAAACATAGACCTCTCCTATAACAGAATAGATAGACTAGGTGACCGGCTCTTTGAAGGTCTTATTAGACTAGAAACATTGAATTTGGCGGGCAACCTTTTGTTCGAACTTCCAGACAATATTTTCGATAGAACGAGGGTGCATATGTTGGAATGTATTTCATTGAGTCACAATTTATTTGAACAAGCTCCTTTAAAGGCTCTACAGAAACAATATTTCTTTGTGTCCTCTGTTGACCTTTCAAATAACAATATTGTAGACATTCCAGCTGAAGATAGCGTTATGGTTAATATCAAAAAGTTAGATTTATCTTTCAATCCCTTATCGGAAAAATCTATTTTAAGTGTTTTAACTGAGCCAAAGACTGTAAGAGATCTAAACCTAGCCGGTACAGGCATGAAAACAATAAGTCAACTTGAGACTCCATTTTTATACCGTCTAAACGTATCCTATAATAACATAACTAGATTGACAGAAAAAACATTTATGCGAACAACACTGTTAGAAATGTTAGATTTATCTCACAATCAAATAACCGATATTAAAAACTCATTATCAATTTCCTGGCCTAAACTAAAGAATTTACTAATGTTAAATATTTCTGATAACCCTGTTACTGCAGTACTCGAAGGAAACTTTGATGGTCTATCATCATTGCGTGTTTTAGATATAAGACATTACGAAAAATGTACAAAAATAGAGAAAACTTCCTTTAGGGCATTATCCAATTTAGTTGAGCTTCGAGCTTATGGTTATCCAAGGCTGGGATATTTTGATGTTCAGGGAGCCCTTCAATATTTCTTAGCACTTGAAAAGTTAGATGTTGAATTTAAAGAAACAATGATTGGCGCTGATCAACTCCATTCAACTCTACACCCACGATTGGAAGAACTTGGTATTCGTGGGTCGCGACTTAAAACTGTATCATCTGGTGTTTTGGCTGGCTTAAAGGCTCCCGCAATCACTGTTAGATTCCGTAATACATCAATGAGTAATCTACCACCTGCTTTGCTTTTCCCGTTACCAAGGTCATCTCGTATAACGATAGACATCAGTGGTAGTCAGCTAAATACAATTCAGCCTCAATTATTAGTTGCTCTTGATGATCGTCGAGCTGATTTATCCATGTTTGGTCTGAATACAAATCCTATAAAATGTGATTGCAATGCACGCGCTCTTCGGAGATGGTTGCCCACAGTTGGCATTGACGATGTTCGTTGCAACTCCCCTGATCATTTAGCTGGCTTTCTTTTAGTTGAAATAGGAGACGATGAGCTATCATGTGATACGCGAAAAAGAACAACAGCAACATCATCTTCTAGTAGTAGTATTTCAACAACATTTCCTCCTCGTTTAGTACATCGTACATCGGCAGAGCCGGATATAATTTGGTCTGTTGCGCCGTCTCACGAACGACCTAAAGTAACTGGAGAACCTAAAGGTGCACCTGTTCTTGGAGTAGCTACTTCAACTAACGATGACAACTTGATAATCGGTATCGTCGGTGGAGTTGTTGCATTTATAGCAATTTTAATTGTTGCGATTTGTATAGTCCGATTGCGTATGACAAGTACGTCATATCGAGGCGGACCTTTAGCAAACAGTCCAGGGGCCGGTGGTCCCCCCATGTGGGGACCAGCTTGGCCAGGTTATGCGGGAACATTGCCTCCACCATCAATATCAACGGCCACATTGCCTCATAAGGTGCAATCTGGTCCAGGGTCAGTTCGGTATCTTGCGTCACCGCCTGGTCCTCCCGCACCCTATTTTATAAGCTTGCCACCTCATGAAGATAAAATTTATCGGTAAAATATTAAGTAACAAGAAGAGACTTTATCCTTATGTAAATATTATAAGAACTATTTGTGTAATAGAAGGTAAAAAGGTGCCTGTTTGTGCTCACAGTAATCTTATTGAAGCGTAGTTGCCTTTGTGTAATGATAGTTTGAATACTCAGACTAGGTTGGATTTATCTAGTCACCAATGACAGGTATTCAAGACAGCAGGTGCGCCCGTGTTATTTATTGCAACAATAGAAGATTCGTGTCTAAGTTTACGTTTATTTAAATAGGTAACATGTGGCACAATTTATTCTTGTATAAAATATTTATTTACTCTAAGATTTAAGAATAATTGTACTGGTAGGCTAGAGCTAAAAGTAAGTTATGAAAATAAAAACATAATTAAGAAATTGTCTTTTAATTCATCTTTCTGTAATCCAAAAATACATTATTATAACACTTCAAGCTTTACGAACAGATGTTATGAAAAAATATTGTTTTAATTGAACAATTTTCTAGCATATATTTAAAATATCACAGTTTGAGGACATACAAGCTATATGTACCCAATAATTACTGTCTTATTTAAAAATATTAATGAAAAAAATCTCATTATACGCATGCGCATAGGGATTGAAAAAAAAGAATCAGACCATATGCACCATTTTGTAAAGGTAAATGAAAATACGTATGACAAACAATGTACGGTGAATGCTTTTATTCACGTTTTTTGAAATTGAATTTCGTGAAATGTCCGACACAATAGTGAACGTTTATGTAATTCTTCACTAAAATATGCAACTGTGTTGATTTTTGAGCAGTGTCCATTGATTTCTGAAGAATTGTTACAGATTTTCTTATATTTAAATTAATTAAATTTTTATATTTTTAATCTAGTATTGATATTATGAATGTGTAGTGAAATCCTTTTTTGACAATTTTATTTATATAACTAATTTTAAGTAACATTCAAAGTTGACACTTATCGACAAGTATTCATATAGTTTGCGAAATTTTTACGTTTTCATAAGTTTCTTATTGTGTGAAAGAGTTCATTCTCTTTCGGGCAAGGTTTCACGCACACTAATTTACGATTACTCTTTCTACTATATGAAGTCAAACAGTGTAGATTAAGCGTATTAAAAATCGAAGTTTTTAATCAATTGAGTCACGAAGCGATGCACTGATATATATAATTTTTTTTTCTATGATTTTTTGTTAAGTTGAATAAAGTAGTCGTATTTATGTCATTATTTAACTCCTTTGCTACACCACATATTAAGGAGTTTGGAGTAACACGCAGGTTAGGTGTAAACATACACCTCAAAAATTAAATGTGTTGCTTTCTTCCCAAATGTATAAAGCTTTTATATCAGTCTTCAAACACGATTTTAAATAAATTCTATATTTGATACTTGATCGCATTCTGTAATATTTTTTGCCAACAATTCGCACGTTATAGTTTAACCCATGCGACAGTACTGTGTTTATCGATTAGGACCAGTGAGAGAAATTTAAATGCAGTATTCGTAGGGGATTGTAGTTTCCCAACACAGAATTTCAATTGAAAATCACCTGCTAGGTTAGGGATTACCTATACTCGTATTAAGCTACACCTGCTGCTAAAAATTTACACTTCTGTAAAACTATAAAAATGCAGCAAAAGCAGATTATTCAGAGATTTTGTGTAGATACTAATAAATTGTGCATTGGCACAGAATTAATAATGTTCGACTGCAAAGCATAATGTTTTCCGTTTAAAATATGTTTTATTATTTAAAAATAGTTATATATCGAAAATAGTTTTTAAAGTTGTATAACATTATTTAGTCTGTATTTCGGCACACTTATCAAAGGTCAATCACCTAGTGACAGACATAATGATACACTTCTGTCTCGTTTTTAAGTACCATTGTCGGCCGTTGAAGGACTCTTGAATAAATTGTCGTTCAAAGAGAGTCTAGTAACTTCTTTTGACAGGTTTGTGTGATCAAGGAAAAAATAATGACATTATTTTGAATAATATCGTATAATTTTTATATATAAATGTGATATTACAAAAAAACGTAGAAGTAAAAACTATTTTTTTGTTAATTTTTAAATACGCTTTGATTTGATGCCCCGTAAAAAATAACTATTGTTACCAAGTACCAAATGCAAAACAGCTAATCGCATAAATATCATCTGTAAAATAATATTATCATTGAACAAACAAGCTAAACTAGAAGCTACATTTCAAACATCTTGTCTATTGTCTATGCCACTTAATATAAAATAATAAGAGAATAAAACCCAATAAAACTTTTTGGACATTCACTAACGTGCATATAAAAACTACAATTTGAATTAAGAATTTTAGCCTGATAAAACGCTAGAACAATATTTTTAGAAATGTCAAGTCTTTATTAGTCTTTTTAATCCACTTAATAGCCAAACTAGCGTGCTGTGAAATATAAAGCCATTTTCAATTTGGCCCATTCATACGTTAAGTGGTCGATAGAGGCGGATGCGATGAATATTCAGAAATAGTCCAATAATTTAAGCAATGTTTCGTAAAATGAATGTAGACACGGCAATTTAACTATACCTGCGAGGAATGTTGAACGTTTAGAATTAGTTAAAACCACGGAATAACATTCGTATTGGGAATTTCGTGTTAGGAATTTGTATGAAATATGAATTAGCCGGTGCATTAAATTAAATATTTTCAGAGCCGTGATCGCAAGCTATTTATAGGGTAGGGGGCAAACGCGCATAAAGGTCAGTCATCGAAGCGCATGGCCACACATCATAGTGGGTGCATTGCGGGCCTTTGAGGTAGGAGTATGCTCTTTTTTCAAGCAATTGGAGGTTGTATCTCTCAGCTAACGCCAACCCGTTTCCAGAAGATACCACTGTTCGCTAGTTTGCAAAAGAAAATGTGATCAAGGTTATGCGGAAGTAATAAGATAATCAATTCGATTAGTATTGGAGAATTACAATGCGACAAGCTCTTCGCTGAATTTGGTCAAAAGGAAGAAGTTGGTATTTGGGAGCAACGGCCCAGAGATGTATTCCATATGAGGTCGTTGAGCCTTGTAAAGCTGCATACGTTGTACCTCAGTGATGGCACTACCTTTGAGAGAAGATTTGGTCTTTGACTTCTGCAATTAAACGAAATAGATTTAAAAAATATATGATTGTGGACTAAGCCAGCAAAGTATTTATTTGACTAAATCATTCTTTTTTGCATGCGCGTAAATGAAATGGTATTTGATTTACGCCCGTTTATGCGATTAATAAAAGTGTTAGGTTTTGTGTAAAATGCCCAAAATTATGTTTATAGCAAGAGAAACAGTCATTACACGCGGGGGAGCCATACGGCTGGACCGGATGTTGCTAACAAAACTTGTATGTAAATACAACCCTTGTCATTTTATACGATGAACAAAATTTGTATGGCCCGCTTTACTTTTTGTTGAATTGAAATCAAAAGGCTTTACAGGTTTTAACAAGTAAATGTCTACTAAAGGTTTTTATTAATTATAGGCTTCTTTGTAGTTGATACATTAAGTTATTTATTTAAGATAAGAGCAGTGTTGGCCTAGTAGCTTTATCGTGCGAGGTCTCATCCCTGATGTCGTAGATTCGATCCCCGGATCACCAATGGACTTTTATTATATGTGCCAATTTAACATTCGCTCGAACAGTGAAGGGAAACATCGTGAGGAAACCCAAAAAGTCGACGGCCTGTGTTGTTGCCACAGGAGGCTTATCACCTATTTGCCTATTATTGTCCATTATGCCTATTATTCCTATTATTTATTTAATCTTTTAAATTTAACGACTGTATTAAATCGTTTTTACTATAAATGAATATGTCATTTATTTTAATAGATAAACCTGTTAAGTCTACTTCTACCAGTTTTACATTCAAAAATAATATTCAGGGTGCGCAAGACACGCGTAAATGGTGTTTCTCTGAGTAAATTTCGCACGCTCGAGGCACTGTTAGCAATTGCGACTGCTATTTATTTTATTGTCTATATATACACGCATATATATAATATTCATCTTACGTAAGTTTGCACTTCTTCCGCTCTTCTTTTAGTGTTGTATTCGCAGGTAAGCGATCATCATAGCTACTTGAATACCACGCTTCTGAATAATAACTTGGTCATTTGATCAAACCAATGCCTAACATTCTGTAACAAAGACGTACGCCTGCTCTTAGCTTCCTGCCACTTTGTCTGGAATGATTAGTTAAAGGAGCTCGTATTTTTTGGTAGAAATATTCAAGTTTCCTTTTCTTAACCTTCATAAGCACTTCTTTGTTCTGCATTATGTCCGGCACGGTTGTATTTCGTATGCGGTGCAAGATATTTCTTCCGCTCACCTTATTTCATTTTATTTTTCCTTACCTGAGATCAGATGAAAGCGATAGCGTTATTTAATTATTCTAATTTATACTGAATTTTGCAACGAAGCGTCAAGAATTAAATACATAAAAAAGAAGTTTTTTGTAATAAATGTTATACGTGTACTACGTGTTTGTGTGTTGTTTCCACGGCAACTTGTGTGCTCCTATTTCATTAATCCATTGCTGATACAGGCTGAACGTTTTTATTGTTATTGAAACAAACCGTGGCGATTTAAAAGAAAACCGGTGAGCTTATTGCTAGTTCATCTCGTAGTAGTCTAACTATTTTCCTATTAGTCCTAACATTTAGATTTATATTTAGTGCTTATTTCAAACCGACACGCTCGCAGAACCAGAATAGTATTAATATTGTGATTGCTCGAATACAATTGATTGAGATCTTGAAATCCTAGATCGTAAATATCGTTAGTAGTCCGACTTAAAAATTATGTTTTCATGCAACAAAGGACAATGTACGATGACAATTGGAAAGATAGAGATGAGAATTAAAAAAAAAGAGATTCTAAATGAAATAAGTTTTCCTAAAGGAAAATCTTGGCAAGAAAAACGAACACTGGGATCTTGTTTAACGAGTCTTAAAGGAGAATCGGTGAAAAGTTTAAAATTGA